TTTTTTTTTTTTTTGCTTCTTCTTCCTTCCCAATTGCTTTTCCCTGCAGTAATTGTTTTAAGAGCGCAACTTGGAAAGGTTTTAGCACTCTGTTGAGCAGCAGGGAATTGGGGCACATGAGGAAACTCGGATTTAGCGTAACTGTACCAGCAGATGTGGCTGCCTTGCCTCGAGCCAGTCCTTGCCTCGAGCCAGTGGTACTTTAGCAGGGTTTCTGATACGCCAGGTCTCGCTCAGGCGGCGTGGAGCAATCAAGTGTAAAAACAAGGTTTGTGTGGGTGGTTTTAAATAGACACCTCGGGAGGGCTGCTGCTTTCAACCCTCCAGTCGAGGCTTCCTATACAAAGTCTGTAGTTTTCTTGCAGATGCTGGGATGTGCTTGGGAGGCCAAGGCCTGGTTTTCTTTGGGTTTATTTGTTGTCAGGTTGCACGTGTGTGTGGGTGGGTGGTGGTGGTGGTTCCTTTTACTCCGCAGGGTTCAGAGAGTTGGGAATTTTTATTCGTCTTGCCTTGATTTAGAGTGGAGTTGAGGAGCCTGGGTCATAGGGTTTTGTGAGGGTGACTTTGTGCTAAGGACATCTGGAGGAATAAAACTGACTGACACTTCTGATTTGAGCTTCACTGAGCTGTTTTGGACCCAACTTGACAATTTTGGTGGGGGTGAATGGGTCAGAGCTGTAAATCTTTCTCCATGTTGTCAACACCCACACAAGTTCACTCAGCCTTTCAAAGGGGCTATCCCAGCTCCTGTGAAAATTCATTAAAGGATAAAAGATTTGACACTGCAGGTCCCCTCCCACTGCCACATGAAATTCGAGAGCCAAAATGTGTCTGCGTGTGTGTCCCAGTGCTTTTTCTGACAGGTGATCCTTTTTGCAGCCTGGCTGGAGGGCTGCTGCCTTGACCAGGCAACCCAGAGGTGTCAGTGCCTGTCTTCCCATTGATTCCCATAGGCTTTGGAGCGAGCCTGGCTTGCCTTGTGGAGCACCAGAGAAAAGCATTTCTGTACTTTTTTTAAATAAAGCAAACACAGCAGGTGAGGTCTTATTTTTAGAGGGACCGAGGAGTTGGTGTGATTCCAGCAGGGTATACGAGCACTCTAAGTGGCCCACCCTCTCGCCGCTCGTGTCCTGGGACTGACCTCTCCGATCCTTCTTAGGGTTGTCTTTGCTTTTAGAGGCTGCCGTGTGTCTTAATGGGGCAAAGAAATACCGACCTCCCTCAACACGTTTGCGTGAGGGGTCAGGAGAGGTGTGGGGGCAATGGGGGGAAGGAATCCGCCTTGGAGTTGCAGCCTGGCTCTGAAAGGGTTAAAGCTCCTCCGCCAAGACATAAAGCAAGTTCAACGTGTTGTGGGAATATCACTTGCCAGTAGACTCCAGTCACCACAATTTCTGATTTAACAGCTTAACTTGCTGTTAACTTTCCCTGATATACTCCAGGTTTTGGACGGGAATGCAGAAAGGAGAGAGGAACAATAAAGAAAGGAGTTAAGTGAGGCTACTAAAATGGACTTAAATCCCTTCCCTGGGTCCTGCCAGCTGTCTTTAGAAGAGTTAAGCAAGATTGCATTTCCTTTTTTTTATGCAATAAATCAAATGTTTCTGGGCTGCATACCAAAATTTGTGCAATACGTTCTTACTCCCCGGTGGGGTGAGTAAATGGTACTGAATACCCCATTCACCTTTTTCAGCTTGATTTTTCCACAGCTACGGTAGTCCTTGCTGCAGCACCGATAGACACGGGGTGCAGGCAGTGCTCCCCTGCCTGCCCCAACCCCTGCCCCGCAGGCAGAGGAGGCAGGCATCTCTCCCTGCTTGCAGGATGGGAGGCGGAAAGGTGACCCCCAGCGTGGGGCGGAGTGGGCTGCTGATGGGGACGAGCAGTGAAGACAAAAAAAGTGAGGGCTAAAAATAGCAGCAGCATTGCCAACCTCAGCCATATAAATGTCATGCGAGCCAGGTGCCAAGAATTAGGATTTTTTTTTTTTTTTCAAGCCTGAGCTAAACAGCAAAACCCCTGGTCCTGGGTCAGTTTTATTTGCCTGACAGCTCGATGGTCAAAAGTTTTGAAGATTGCTTCTTCCAAGCTGTGGTTGGAAATCTCATCCTTTCTCATTTAGAGGAAAAGGGAGGCTCTGTGGCAGCTCCTCTCCCTTCAGGTACGGCTGTGCACCTCATCCCAGTGCCGCTGCCCAAGGTGCAGCCCCAGGTTTTCAGCTGGCAAGGCACCTGCCTCTCATCACCGGCCTCTGCTAGCCCTTTCCTACTTGGCACCTTGGGGTGTCGTGGCGCAGCGAGGCTGCCCATGGGCAGGGGTGGCACTCGCTTGACAAGTGGGAGGTTGGCTTGGGCCTGTGTCCTGCCCCTTCATGACAGCTGTTCTCGAAACCGGGTCAGCTCCCGCCATCCTGGGGCTGCCCTCTGAGAGGAGCAACGCAGAGAGATGTTCAGCATCTCTCACAGGCAAGCATCGGAATAGCGAAACATCACTCTGCCCGCTTTGTTCTGGAGGGGTGGAGGGTGATGGAGGCTGGGATGTGCAAACTGGGGTTTTCCCCTCCTGCACATGCTGCTGGGTTTAGGCTGATGACTTTTTGCCATGCTCCCTTTTAAACACTGCACTGGTCCACAGAGAAGTGAGATTCTTTTTAATTTTTGTTGTCCAAATCCAAATTTTGCAGACTGGGCCATCTGTCAATTCCCTCCTACGTTGTTCTGTTCATATTAAATTGTAATGAAGGCCAGACTGAAGAAGGAATTAGGTCAGACAGGAGGTTTAGTCTCCATTTTTGGGGAGATGTTTGTTGCCTAAGAGAGGCACCGTGGTTTGGTTGGCTCAGCACAAGCCTGGATGCAAGGGATGCCTGAGCTGTCCTCCGAGATTTGGCAACTGGGCCTTTTAGCACATTGTGGCTTCTTGGCCCCTGACTCCACAGCAGCTGGACAGGAATCGTTGATCCAGCTGATTCTGCAGCAAATGCTGAAAAAATCCTGTTCTGGCCTCAGGCGGGAGGGTGGCTCCACTGCAGACCTGCCCTCGGACTCGCTCTGGCTGCAGCCGTGCTGAGAGGACCGTCTCCCTTGGTGTGTCCATGCTGGCTGGGGGATGCTGAGAAGTTTTTGGGGGTTCCTGGCCATGGGTACCGCCGTGTGTGTTGCGAGAGGGGAATACACAGTGGCAGCATCCTGCACATAGCAGCTCGTGGCCAAGCTGTGTCCAGTGGCAGCTTGGCTTTGTATAGGGACCTGGGGGCATGGGGGAAGGCAGGAGAGGGATGTGAAGGATGGAGAGCAAGGCAGACTCTGCTGGCAAGGAAAGGCAAGCAGCATGCTTCAACGGCTTGTCTGAGCCTCTTCTGTGCCGGGAAAGCTGCTCTCAGGTGCAATTCCCAGGATGGTACAGGGCACCTGTGCAACCAAGAAATTCCTCTTGCATCACCCTCTTGCATGCTGTGTGGGGTCTGAGCACTCATTAGAAGGAATTCACACCTCAGGTTGTTGGGCACCCGGCATGTCTCGCACTGCTGTTCCCACTGCCCTTGGTTACAACTGCATCCTGATCACACTGGAGCTCTGCCAGCACGTGAGGGGGAATGGTATCCAGCAGGCTGATTCCGCACGCTTTGGCAAGAATAGACCTTTGTTGGGTGTAGCCTCTCTCCTGATGGACACCAGACCTTGTCCTTTAGGAAAGGTCCTGCTTACCTCTCACTGCTTTATTCCCGTTACCTCCTGTGTGAGAGAGGCTTTCTAATAAAAAGTGAAGGGTTGTCCAGCTGTCCCACAGCTGAGGGTTCTGTCCCTGTCCTAACGCTTGGAATAGAAACCAAAACCAGTGCTGTCCCATATTTCCAGTGGAGAATGAAGGCTTGGAGGGGTTCATATGGCTTCGACTCACGATGCTGAGCAGGATTTGGCCATGACAGCTGAAGCCACATGCAACCTGTGCAGCTGACACGGTTGTGCCACTCTGTTCTGGGGAGCAGCTCCTGCTCCAGCAGCCGTGATGGAGCAGGTGCAAGCTCTCCTGCAAGGGTGCTGCTCATCACTCCTGAGGAGTAGGAGAGGGGAAGGATCTATTGAAAGGTCACTGGGATGCACTGTGGCCAGTGACAGCATCCCAGGAGCCTATTTGCCTTTGGGTGAAGCCTGGGGGCTTTACCTGTGCAGTCAGTAGGGCAGTGCCAAAGCGAGAGGGAAGGGCTGGGTTGCAGCTTCATCAAGCTGGAGAGAGACTGCAGCACTGGGTAGTAAATAAAGGTGCTTTTTGCTTTGCTGCCCAGTTTCTCATTACATAGCTGGAGGAGGGAGCAGGGAGATGCCAAGGTGACTGTGGTGGAAAGGGCTGGCAGTTGATGTGAGTGTAAAAAGGGGACTTCATCGCATTGCACACCTCCATGTTAGTCCCAGGTGACAGCACTGGGGCCATTCCTGTCCTTGCATCTTCAGGGGGGCTTCCTGGATGGAGTTATGGGGTGCATGGGCATCCTACAAGAGCTCACAGTGGAGGCAGGGAAGGCTGCCTGGGGCTTCCTTGTGCCTGCGGTGCAGGTTGTGCAGAAGCAGATATTTTCCGAGGAGTGTAGGGTTTTTTCCACAGAAGGTATCAGGTCTCCCCAGCATCAGATATCGTCCCGTCAACAAAACCTCGCTCACCCCTTACTTCAGAGCATCTCACCCCTTTCTTTAGACTGGATGTGGAGGAAAAGCTGCAGTTGTCACCCGTGCCACTGAGCAAGCCCCTTCTGGTGGGTTGGCTCTGGTTTGGAGGAGACCAGTGCGCAGTCTGCTCGTTAGCCACAGCCCTCGCAGCCAGCATGAACCTAATTGGGGACAGGGGATTATTTGGGTGTCCTGAGGTCCCACGTCAGTGGCTTTGGTGTCAGCACTGGCTGATGTGCATCTGCCGCCCCAGCAAGGAGCTGCTGGTGCTACCTGCACCCTGGGGACACCAACAATCAGGAGCTGTGCCAAAAAAAGAAGAAGAAAAAGGTGATAAAAAAAAAGAAAAAGGAAAGGGAGTGGGATCATTGGTCTCTTGGCAGCTGGGATTCTGGTTGCTGATGCTGCTGCACCAGGGACATGGCAAGCAGCACAGGTGATGCTGTGGTCATGGTGGGGAGGCCCAGTAAACACCCGTTGGCAACTTAATTAAAAAAATGAGGGGCAAAAGTGTTGGTGGCAAAACACTGCAGCTTGGCAGCATGGTGCAATCGCAGCCCAGTGCCATCCCTTGGCTCCTTGTGTAATATAGACCAAAGCCCCCTCAGGTGAGCTGAAGGGGCTGGTGCTACTGGAGAAGCTGGTCCTGGTCACATCACTTGCTGATTTGAGCCCAGTTTGTTCCCAGGGCTGCTGCCTCTCTTGTCCAGAGCTCTAGAGGGGTTTTGCCAGCCTTGCTGGTTTCTGCCAGCACAGACTGAGCAACACAACAGGCATGGAAGCTCGTGCAGGGGCTATGCCCCCTCAGCCCACCTAGACCTTGCAGCCTCTGTTTTGGCTTTTCTTGCTGCTGATCCCTGTGCTCTCACCGCTCAGAAGAGCTCATAACTTGTAAGCATGGTGCATTTCTAGCAATGATGATTTGAGCTATGTACTAGTAAAAAATTGGTAGCAAGGGTGCTTTATTGCTGGCAGGACCATAGCGGGGCCCCAGGAGGGCTGGGCTAATTTCCTGGCTGCGCTGCAGACTTCCCCCGTGACCTTGGGCAAGTCATTTAATCTATCCTGGGCTTCGGCTCCATCTCTGAGCATCCCGGGGGGGTGAGGTAATATTCATTAACTGATATTATTCTCGAGTTGCTCAGATGCTATGGTGATGAAGGCTGGATGTGAAACCCAGTGTCTTAGCTAAGCATTAGCAGGGAGCAGAGATGCTCCTCTTGAGATTTAGCATTGCCCTGTGGTGGCTGCTGTTTTGCCACACTTCCCCTCTTCGTTTTGAGCTGACCCATCTGGCCACTACCTCTATTTGGCTGGATATATACAGTGATGCTCATCTCTGAGGGACTATAAAGCCTGGAACCATCCATGGGCTTTGCCTCATCCAGTGAGGCAATAGCACGGTCACTTTACACCTGCAGAAGCTGATACGGAGGTAAAGCTGTTTGCCAGAGCTGAGTCAGGGGAAATCTTTGGGTTAGTTAGCAAATATCCAGGGAGTTTCTTTTTTAATCCTCTGTGCTGGCTGATACCCCCTTGGCCCTCCTTGGTGATGCCTCAGGCACGTTTCCTGTGGGACCGCTCTGCCCCTGAGGGATGTCTTCGGTCCCAGCTCTCGTCAGCAAACACGGCTCATGCAATCAGCCCCTCGATTGCCCGAGCTGCAGCCATGCGGGTCTCTCGCACGCCTGGGGTGAAGGCTGCCGATCCCTGGAAAAACCCAGCTTTCCTCAAAAGCAACTCTAGGAGAAGTTGAAAGTTCATTTTTTTTTCTGCTTTGGCAGAACATGTGTTCAGGTAGGGCATAAAAAACTGTCATCAGAAATGGAAAAAAAACCCCTGATAATAATTTGAATTATATAAAATATATCTATATGGAACAAAAAATCACACTGCCAAAAGAGCAGAGGAAATACAAGCCTTTCAGAGGTAAGCTGAAGTGGGATTTTCCAATGGAAAAACTGCTTCAATGCAAACCTTGTCTGGCCGGAGAGGCTGACCAGTGGGGCGAGCGCAGGGAGCCAGCCTCACACCAGTGGCCTCCGGGGCACTGCTGGTCCTTCCCTGCAGCATCCTGACATGTCCGGGCATCAAGCCCCAGGCGTGCTGCGGATGTGTGTGTGTGTGGGTCACTGCCTGGGGAAGGGGGCAGAGAGGGATCTCTTGCACCATGTTAACGCTGTGCCTCTGTCCCCAGGTGCAGAGGATGTGTGCGGCAAGGCGGATGCTGCTGCTGCTGCTGGCTTTCCTGGCCTACGCGCTGGATTCGGCTGCGGCGTACGGCACGGCGGAGACCCTCTGCGGCGGGGAGCTGGTGGACACGCTGCAGTTCGTCTGCGGGGACAGGGGCTTCTACTTCAGTAAGTGCCAGGGGGCTGCCGGCAGCGGGCAGGATTCTGCCCTCACACCTTTCCTTCGGTGGAGCCAGGCTGGGAGGGAAAGGAGGGGTTTTCCAGCCCGGTGCTTTTTTGTGATTGCCTTGTACACAGCGGTAGGCCAGGAGAGGAGTGAGAAAAGTGATGTGGTCAGGGTGACATGCACCCACCTCGTGCTGGTTTTGGGAACAGTCTAGTCCTATGGATCCTGCATTTGATGCTCAGGAAAGTCAAATATTGCTGGGGAGCCAGAGGTGGTTGGCTCACTGGCGATGCGGGCAAGTCATTAAAATAATGAGGATGTCTGCAGCCATTTCTCTGCTGAGCTTAGGCCCTGGCTTATTTTTAAACCTTGCTGCCTAATTGCTGCATCCTGGGAGCAGGCAGGGAGGTGAGCACTCCTCCTTTCTGGGTAGGCTTTGCTTGTAGCAGCAGCTTCTAGGCTGCTCCCAAAACACGCTTTGTGTCCTCCTGGCTACCTGCTGCCGAACCTGTCACTGAAGAGGGATGTCTTACCCTTCTGTAGTGCAGCTATTGCCAACAAATGCAGTGCTGCTGTGATCCACAGACTGCAGGTGGCTTCAGGACAGTTGGCTGGGGCAGGCTTTCCGCCGGGATGCTTTGGAGGTTTGGATCATTGACAGTACAATGGATTAGCTGATAAACGGGAGGAGGAGTAAACCAGTAGCGATGGGCAAAGGTGCCTTGAGTGTGACGCCTTGTTCTGGTGTTTTGGTTCCCTGTTCTCCTTGGGAGAGGGAAGACCCTGTGTCCTGCTGCCCACTGAGGACTGAACTGCAGTGACTGACTACAGGAAAGACTCAAAGACAAACAGGGAGAAAGAGGACGAAGATACCAACTGCATGTGGTGCCATGTATTTGGTATTCTTGCCTCTGCCTTTTCCCCGGGAAAAGGAATTAAAAAGTCACTTTCAAGTAACAGGATGTTTTTTTGAGCAGTGGAGTTGAAAGCCATCCTCCCTCTCATTCCAGTCTGCCTGTGCAGGGAATGGAGCACTGAGAAGTTAGGAGATGAGAAGAGGTGCAGCCATCCCACGTCCGGCAGCAGCCAGGGTTTAGGCTGTGTGATTTTGGGCAGGCAGTTGGGCTGCAGGAGGCTTTGCAGCTAGCTGGGGGTGATCGCCCTGCCCTGTCCCAGCTGAGCAGCAGGATGTTTTCATGGCCCCTCAGGTGCTAGTGGCAGGCAGCACTTTTGGGGATGCCCTGGCATGCTTCCTTCCTCTTCTGAACTGAGCGGTGAGGGTTTGCAATTTAGCTGCCTTTCTGTTCTTACGTCCTCCTTCCAACTTTCCTCTGCCTAAAAGCCCCATGCTGGAGCTCAGCTGAGGTGGCAGGTCCCGGGCTGGCCTTACCAGCATGGGAGGAGGCGAGCTCCTCTCCCGCTCGCACACCTCTTCCTCTATATGTAGAGGAGCATCCGTATCCCCCCCATGGTTTCTCTTCCCTCCTTCCCATCTCTGGAGATGAAAGGGAATGGGGCTTTTTTTTCATGGACAAACTGACCTCCTTTCACCTCAAATAACCCAGCCACCCAGGCCAAAATAAAAACACTTCCAAAGGCAGACAAGTTGCTTGGTGCCAAGTGGCTGGTGTGGTGCTTGCAAGGGGATTCTTGATTTTATTTTTGGTTTTTGTCCTCTCTCATCTCCATCTTCAAGGCCAGGCTGGACGAGGCTTTGAGCAACCTGGTCTAGTGGAAGGTGTCCCTGCCCATGGCAGGGGGGTTGGAACTAGATGGTCTTTAAGGTCCCTTCCAATCCAAACCGTTCTATGATTCTATGATCTCCCCTTCTTCTTTTTGAATATTTCTGGAGAGCCCAGGTGCTGGGGCTTAAGGAAAGTGCCTCCTAGCCTCATATTTTAATCCCTTCAGCATCTGGCCAGCCTGTGCTATGCAGGGCTGAAGGCATTTGGGAGATGGCTCTACTTGATGAAGGGTTTGGACATCCCCAGCTTGCCTCATTTTTTTCCAACGGTTGGCCTCATAAAGTGATCTCCTGACCATATTCATCTTCACTCCTAAATCCTCATGGCTACACTATTGTCAATGTATAGGCTCAACAGGGCACAATTATGTCGCACGATTGCGGGTTTCCGTTGTAAAACCAGGTCTGGCTTTGTCATGAGCACTGTTCAGTGTGGGACATGTGTCCTGATGAGCAGACTGCACTAGCTCAGTCATTCTTATAGGAGGTAATGACTTGGATGGCCTTGTCACTCAGGTACAGGTGGAGTCTGTTTGCTGGATGGGGTTTGTTGCAAGCATCCAACTGGTAATCCTGGAAAAAAATCCCAAAAATACTGAAAATTCGTTATCAGTTTTCTGCTGCAGTGGTGATTTAAGTACTTAAATGGTGCTCTGGATTCTTACGAGGGAGCAGGTAGCTAGCGAAGCGTTCTTTGAAATACAGCGCTGTTTGTATCCATGCAAGTGGATGGAGCGTGCTGATGGTGTTTCATCCCCCCAGCATCTGGCGATGGAGAAATATGCAACCTAGACTGAGGAGGGTGCACCCTGTGGTAACTGGGATGCCCATGTGTCCACTGGTGTGGGGAGTGAGTCCCAGCCCCCAGCTGCCCTTGGAGGCATCGTGGCTGGCAGGTGCTTGAGGCTGAGGAGGTTGAAGCTGCCTCCGAGAGCTGGGGCAGCAAAAGGGGGCAGGAGCCGGCAGTGCCAGGGTCACCTGGCCGTGGGATGCAGGGTGGGCACGGCGATGTGCACCACGCCAGCCCTACACCGTGTCCCAGGGGTGACTGGGCAAGCTGCAGCTGGAGCCATGCATGCTTTACTCTCCATCTTTGCCGTGATTCCTCCCTCTCTTGAGTTTTAAGGCTTTCGGGGCTGGCCCGCAGGTGCCGGCAAGGTGGCAGCATCCTGCCGTGGCTCTACGGTAGGGTCG